TGTCACCAGCCCCAGGAAAAGGACGCCAGGGATCGTGTTCTCAGGGAAGAGCTGAAGGATCTTATCTCAAATTCTGATTATCTGCACGTAAACTTGACTCGGTTTCACAGAGTCCTGGGATGGTTTGGGCTGAAGATGATCCAGTTCCACCCCATCCCACAGGCTGTGCAGGGTCCAGGCACCCCCCAGAGCAGCACAGGGTGGTCCAGAGCCACCCCAGGATCCGGGGGGGCAGGGCAGGAGCACTCACCTGCCCCAGGGCGCTGGTGAGGCCAAACAGGAGGATGTTGTAGATGACACTGGGATATCGTTCTGTGAAACTCAGGAACTCCCAGAGCTCCCCAGTGAACAGGATCCCTGGAAGACACACAAAGGTGGAAAACCCTGAACTTGGGAGCCCAAAATCGCACGTGGTGCAATTCCAGTCTGTGCTCAGAGCCCCAAGGGGAGCTACTGGAAGCAGAGAGTGAATTCCAAAGTGGAAAACAACAAGAGAAAAAGCAATCACCTCCCTGGTTAATTAATGAAAGGAGCAATCGTTAACTACAGAGCAAATTCCAACAGTACAGCAATTAATCAGAAGGGCTGCAGCCTGATCATCAAATCATGGAGTGGGTTGGGTTGGGAGACACCTTAAACTCATCCAGTTCCACTCTGTGCCATGGGCAGGGACACCTTCCACTATCCCAGGTCTTTCCAAGCCCTTTCCAGCCTGGCTGGGGCTCTCTGGTGGGCACTGGCAGAGCTACACTGAGTAACCCCCCCTTTTCACACACAAATAGACAAAAATCCCCAGACCACAGCAGCAAGGTTCTCCCACAAGGTGTTCCAGGCCCGTTTCTGGAACTCAGGGGTGAGGGTGAGGGTGAAGGTCAGGGTGAGGATCAGGGTGAAGGTCAGGGTGAGGGTGAGGGTGAAGGTCAGGGTGAGGGTCAGGGTGAAGGTCAGGGTGAGGGTGAGGGTGAAGGTCAGGGTGAGGGTCAGGGTGAAGGTCAGGGTGAGGGTCAGGGTGAAGGTCAGGGTCAGGGTGAGGGTGAAGGTCAGGGTGAGGGTGAGGGTCCTCACCTGCCCCCAGGAACAGGGTGGACCAGAGGTTGACGTTGAGCATCATGTGGTTGGAGCCAGTTTGGTAATGAGCCCTCATGTGGTCCTGGGACACCCCCGTGAGCCCGTCCAGGGTCAGCGACAGCAGCTGGGCAGGGACACAAAACCTCCCCAGGTTCCTTTCCCCAGGACCCCCTCCCTGTGCCCACTGCACACCCTCAGCACCTCCCGAGCACGAGCTCATTGAAAAGGAGTTCGGTGCCTCAGCACCTGAGCTGGACCCCCAGCACAGCTCAGAGCCCCCTCACACCCCACCTGCCCTCCTGCCACGGCTCCACCGCGGTCTGGGAGCTGGGAGTCACACCTGAACTCTGGGATTTGGGATGGGGGAGCTGGAATCACACCTGAACTCTGGGATTTGGGATGGGGGAGCTGGAATCACACCTGAACTCTGGGATTTGGGACGGGGGAGCTGGAATCACACCTGAACTCTGGGATTTGGGACAGGGGAGCTGGGAATCACACCTGAACTCTGGGATTTGGGACGGGGGAGCTGGGATCACACCTGAACTCTGGGATTTGGGACAGGGGAGCTGGGATCACACCTGAACTCTGGGATTTGGGATGGGGAGCTGGGAATCACACCTGAACTCTGGGATTTGGGATGGGGGAGCTGGGATCACACCTGAGGGGTCGGGATTTAGACCTCAGGTCCAGGTGAGCTGTAAGTGCCCCCTGAGCCCAGGGCCAGCCCCTCCCCTGCCCTGTGCCCCGGCACTCACCAGCAGCAGCTCCCCGTAGCCAAAGACGTGGTCGTCGCCCCCAGCCCCCTTCTTGGGCTTGTACAGGAACAGGGCCACCCCCGCCACGATGAGCAGCACGCACAGGTACTTGGCTGGGGGGTACTTCTTCCTCAGCAGGGTCACCCCTAAGAGCATCACTGACAGAAGGGATGACAAAAACTGCTCCCAGAAGCTCTTACAGGAATTAAACTCCTAAAAGGTCCTTCCTAAAATCATGGCTGCAGAGAAGGGATGTCCCAAAGCCCCTCCTGGGAGTTAAACCTGGCCCAGCAGAGCAGGGAGATGGATCTGCCAGGGAGAAATCCCCACTAACACACGGGAAACAGGGAATTTGCTCACCTGGAATGGGCTTACAGGACTTGCCCAGGACCTGGAAAGGAAAGACATGGATTAACTATCCCAATCCCCCATGTGGCTCTCCCCACACGAAAGTGGCCACAGAAAAATGGGAATCAACCCCCTGGTGTCCTTTCCCAGGGGGTTGTGCTCCCCCAGCCTGTGCTGGGTGATCTATACCGGGATCAGTAAACACGGAGCGATCCGTAAACAGATCAGTAAATACTGTGTGGTCCATAAATAGATCAGTAAATCCCGAGTGATCCCCACGATCCCACAGCGCTCTGAGGGTCCCACCTGGGTGGGGTAGCTGACGAACTGCAGGGCCGAGTTGCTGGACACCATGGCCCCCAGGTAGGACAGGGAGCAGGCGCCGTAGAGCCATCCCCGCGTGCGATCCACCCGCGCCGCGTCCACGAGCCGGATCACTGTGGACACACGGACACGGGGACATGGGGAGCGCTGTCCCTGCGCCCCCGGCAGGGAAGGGGCAGGGAAGGGCCGGGGCACTCACGGAGCTTGGCGAAGGCGGCGTTGATGACGCACTGGATGAACACGAGGGTCAGTGCGAACCTGAACTTCTCCTGGTGAGCCCCCTCCCCGTAACGGCCCCGAGTGCTGGGGGGGACGGACAGTGAGACACATGGACAGACGGGACAGCGGGACAGGGAGGGGACAGCGGCGGCTCCATCCCGGGGCAGCTCCCGGGGACACGGGGAGACACCGCCCGGGACTCGCCCGGCTCAGCGAGGGGGTGGCCCCGGCTGTGCCCCCCCGTCCCGTCCCGTGTCACCCCCTGGTCCCCCGTGTCACCCCCTCCTCTTACCGGGTGTCCCCCCGCCCCACGCGTCTCCCCCATTCCCGTGTCCCCTCCGGTCCTGTGTGTGACCCTGGCTCCTTGTCCCCACGCCGGTCCCATGTCCCATCCCGGTGTGTCCCATCCCGGTGTGTCCCATCCTGTCCCTGTGCTGTGTCCCCTCTCGTGTCCCATCCCGCTGTGTCCCATCCCGGTGTGTCCCACCCCGCTCCCCATCTCCTCCCTGTGCCGTGCCCCTCCCGTGTCCCGTCCCGCCGCACATGCTCTCCTGCAGGATGCCGTAGCAGCAGTAGCAGGCGAACACGCCGAGGCAGCAGAGGGGCAGGCGGAGGCGCTCGGGGATCGCGGGGGTCGCTCCCATGTCGGGCTCCGGCAGCTCCAGCGCCACATCCCGGCCGGCCCCGGGCGGCCTCATCGCCCCGCGCCCGTGATGGGCGCCCTCTGCGCTGCCGGGCCCGCCGCGGGCCCCGCGAGGGAGGAGAGGGCGGCAAAACCCCCCGGGACCGCGCGGGGGCTCCGCGCTGAGACCCCCCGACCCTCCCCGGGGCGGCGGAGGCCGCGGGTCCCCCCGCGGAGCCCCCGCAGAGCCCCCCGCGAGGCGGGCACCGCGCGGGGCAGCCCCGCGCTGCGGGGGCCTGGGAGCGGCGCGGCGCGCGCGGGGACGCCACGGGATGTGGAGCGCGGCGATTGGCTGTGGGGAGGGGGCGGGGCCGCGGGGAGCGAGGTGATTGGTGGGACAGCAGGGGAGGCCACGCCCACCGCGCCGGGAGAGGCGCCGCGGTCCCAAAGCCCGCCCGGCCCCGGCCGGGAACGGAGGGGAAGGGACCGGGAACGGCCCCGGCATCGGCCCCAACAGCCCGGGAGGCGGCGGTCCCGGATCGGGACAGGCCCGTCCCGAGCCCCCCTGAGCCAGGGGAGCCCAGAACCCTCCAGGGGAGCCCCGACCTCCTCCCCGTAAAGGTCAGCGCCCTCCCAGTGACCCCCAGCACCCCTCAGTGACCCCCAGCCCCGCCCCTCCAGCCCAAACCAGGCTGGGGGCTGTCCCTGCCCTCACCACCTGCCCCCAAACCCCATCCCTTAAATCCCAGAGAAGCCCTTTGGATGCCTGAATTGTTTATTTTGTTTCCTTGGCACCAGCATTCCCAGCATTTGCACAAAATAACCCCCAAACCTCCCCCCACTCCGTGACCACCAGGCAGGAGCTGCAGGGGGAAGGATCCTCTTCACAGGACGTGAAATACAAACCTCAAAGAGCTGCAAAAATAAGTGTCTTTGGAAGAAAATAGAGTTTCTACACCAGGTACGGGAAAAGCAGCAGCTCCAAAACATCCCAGAGCCCCTGGAACGGGCCACAGCTCCCAGCTCCTGCTGGGAAGAGGCTCCACGATCCCTGTTCCGTGTGAGGGAACTTCAAAGGCATCACAGGGTGGAGCTGCTGGATGTGGCTCCTGATCCTGCACAGAGCCCAGCCCTGGGGGAGCCAGAGGGTCCTGGAACACCCTTGGATAAGGCCAAGAGTCCTGGATCCCCCTGGATGAGGCTGAAGGTCCCAGACTTCCCTCCACCCCAGCCCCACCCGGGCTCTCAGCTCAGGAAGTTTCTTTGGGAAGCAGCAGGATCTGTGTGTGCTGCCAGATCCCACTTCCAGGCCCTCTCCCTGCAGCACCAGGCCCCTGGAAGGGCAGGGAGAGCAGCTCATGGCTCCAAGGGCACCCTCAGCCACTAAAATTCCAGGAGATGTGTGGAAGCTCCAGGTTTGGAGCAGGGAAGGGGAGGCACAGCCAGGAATGTGCTGCTCTCCCGTCCTCCCTGAGGGACAGGAGCTGTGCAGGGACACAATTCCAGCCTGGCACATCCAAGGGCAGCTCCAGCCTCTTCTCCCAAATCCCAGCAGGGACGAGAGGTGCTGGGAAGTCCCACCTCATTCCCAGAGGAGCAGGGATTTGCCTCTGCTCTTCCCAGAGGAAACAAGGACAATCCAACCCGGGAAAGCGCTTTGGACTGGGGAGGCTCCAGGAACGAGCCCTCCCAGCAGTGAGGGATCCAGGGCACGTTGTCCTTCCCCGTCTCTGCCATCCTGGGGGGAATTCTGCCACAATTCCCAATCCCAGGGGCTGCCACATCCCACCTCCAAGGCACTGAGGAGCCACAGGTGCCGGTGCTGCCCTTCCCAAGGGATTCACACCACGAGGGAGCTCTGGAACACGACGCTCTCCTCGGCCTGGCCGCGCTTCCAGGGCTCGCAATTCCGGCTGGGAGCCTTGGGCACCTCCTCCAGGAAGGGGCTGGGGGCTTGGGGGGGCTGGCAGGAGGGGAAGGGGCCCGTGCCAGCGCTGGGGGGAGCCGGGAAGTCCCGGAAGAGGAATCCCATGTCCGGGAAGAGCGGCTGCACCAGGCGCACGGGGCAGAAGGCGGAGCCCGAGGGGGTGAAGTGAACCTTGTTCTTGTCCGGGCAGGAAGGCTGGAAAGGCTGGGATGGGCTGGAGCAGCTGAGGGGACACAGAGGGCACACATTAGGGACAGCAGTTCCCAAGGGAATGGCTGAGCAGGCACAGAACAGCCTGGGATGTGCGAGGAGCAGCTGCTGGGAGCGGGTACTGAGGCCTGTCTGGCTTGGAGACCCCACTGATTGGTGGGACATCCCCCTGATTGAGGGGAGAACCATCTCCCCCTCAAGAGGCCTGGGAAGTGCAGGGAATTCCAGAATCCTCCCAGCACTCCCCCCTCCAGCTTCTGTCCCCAGATCCTCAGCAGCCTTTTTGTTGGAAGTGTTTTCCCCCATCCCTGCTTTCCCAGGAGCCTCAGCTGCCCCTGCCCAGCATCCCATGGGACCCTCCCCACTCCAGCGGTTTTCCAGGGGCTCCCCACACTCACAGGGTCTCCTCAAAGGCTCGGACTCTCTCACAGCCCTCAGGAGGCTCCCGTTTGAACACGTAGCTGTGGTTGGGACGAGGAGAGGAGGCAAAGGCCAGCACTGGAGAAGGGCTGCTCCCCTCTGGGAGGGAAGAAAAAGAGGATTCGGAATAGTTTTCCCAAGAATCCAGAGGAATCCAACATGGAACATGTTCTTTTAAACCCCCTGCCCCGAGGCTGCAGGTTGTGGAATGTTCAGGTGGAGAAGAGGCTGTGGGGGATTGAGGGGCTGTCCCTCCTTGGAGCTGTGCCAGGGGAGGGTTAGGATGGATATTATGGATTTTGGGAAAGGTTCTTCCCCCAGAGGGTGGTTGGCACTGAACAGGCTCCCCAGGGCAGTGGGCACAGCCCCAAGGCTGCCAGAGCTCCGGGAGGGTTTGGACAACGCTCTGAGGGACAGGGTGGGATTTTGGGGTGTCCTGGGCAGGGCCATGAGTTGGACTGGATGATCCCTGGGGGTCCCTTCCAGCTCAGGATATTCCCAAAGCCACATCCCAGCTCACAGCCTGGACACCACCTGCATGGAGGAGGGGAATTCCTAGAGCTGTAACTCCAGTGCAGCCAAATTCCCGGGACTGTCTCCCATCTCAGCTCCACTCCCGGCCCATCCCACAGCCAGGGAGGAGCAGCCCAGGAGCTCTGAGTCCCTTCGGTGTCCCCCAAACCTCCCAGCCCTTTTCCACGCTCACCTTTCTCCTTTGGCTCCGGCTGTGCCTCCGAGGGCCCGGGCGCTCCCGGCCTTCCCGGGGTCTGCATGGACGGGGAGGGGGACAGGGAGAGGCTGCTCCAGCTGCCACTTCCCGGCTCCAGGGCCGTGTCCAGGGGGTCTGGCTGGGCGGGCGCCGGCGCCCTGTGCCCGTCTGGGACGTCCAGGATCTGGGAAGGAGCAAAGGATTAGAGGAGCAGGAACCCCCCCCCCGAGCCTGGGAGAGCTTTAACCTGCAGGGCAGGAACTCTGGGAGCAGAGCTTCTGGAAGAAAGGGTTTCCAAGGGCACCAGATTCCAGACCATCCTTGGCCTTCACTCACCCTCAGCAGCTCCTCATCTCCCTGTTCCCTCACAAACACCTCCTCCAGCTCCTGGTTCAGCCCTTCCAGGCTCCTGTGCAAGCAGGGGCTGAGCCTCAGGACGGGAGACGGAGAAAGGAGTCCTGAGGGAGAGTCCTGCAAGAGTCCAGAATTCCAGGAGTCAGAGCTGGATCTGCACACCCTCAGCTTCCAGGGCTCAGCCAGAGCCTCCTGGGCTGGGGGGACACTGACAGGAGGGTCCTGTGAACTCTGAGTGCAGAGGGAATCCCAGGAATGTGCTGGAGAGGTGGGAGAGGAGAAATCCTCCCTCTTCGGGTGTGAGAAGCCTGAGGAAGGCCCAGCCCAGGAGGTTGGGGCCCTTCCTGGGGGGATTTTGCTCTGCCCCTCACTGGGATGGGGTGCCAGGGAGCAGGGGTGGGGTGTGGATGTACCTGGAGCGATCCAAGCGTGTGATCCCCTGGGAATGGGCAGCTCTTCTCCTTTTCCTTCCCATTCCTGCCACTGAGCTTCGTGCGCTGGAGCTGCTGCTTCAGCTTGGCAATCTGGGACACACGGGAGCAGCGGTGGGAACAGGAGACCTGGGACAACCCTCCCAAACAACAGCCCCCAGAACAACCCCAAACAACACCCCCCAAACAACACCTCCCCAAACCCATCCTCCTCCTCCTCCTCCCCCTTGTCCAGCCCACGGGCAGTGCCAAAGCCAACACGATCCCAGGAGCAGCAGCTCAACAGATGGGCCTGGAGCTCTCCCAATGCCTCATCCCCCCGTGCTGCTGCAGCGTGGCCAGAGCCATTCCATGGGGGATCTGGGTTATCCTGCACCCAAAGGTGAGGATTCCCAGCTGGAACCACACTCAATGCCCCGGGCTGCCCAGGAGGTTTCACTCCAGCTGCTCCGGAAGGCCACAGATCCACCTGCAGCCGAATGCCGGTGTCAGGGATGAGGACAAGGGCTGAGGTCTGGTTCCCAAAGGTATCCTGGCTCCCTCCCTCCCCTGGCAGCCCCTGCCCAGCCCAGGCTCGGTGTTACCTCCCGCCGGTGGTCGGAGCTGCCCCCGGCGCTGCCCGGCCCTGCCGCCACCTCGGGCCACGACTGCGGGGTCTGGGACGAGAAACAGGGCTGAGGACAATCACAGGGCACGGCTTCAGAGGCTGCTCCTGGAGCCTGGAGAAGCTGGGATCAGCCCCTGCCCCGGGCCAGTCTGCCCTCGTCAACACAAGGCTCACGAATCGTGGAATTGGGGAATGGTTTGGGTTGGAGGGACCTTGAAGTTCACCTCCCACTCTCCCAGGCTGCTCCAACCTGGCTTGGACACTTCCAGGGATGGGGCAGCCACAGCTCCTCTGGGAAATCCAGTCCAGCTCCTCCCACCCTCCCAGGGAGGAATTTCTTCCCAATATCCCACCTATCCTACTCTCAGTTTAAACCCATTCCCCCTTGTCCTGTCCCTCCATCCCTTGTCCCCAGTCCCTCTCCAGCTCTCCTGGATCCTCTTTAGGCCCTGGAAGGGGCTCTCAGGTCTCCCTGGAGCTTCTCTTCTCTAGGGGAACACTTCCAGCTCTCCCAGAGATCCCTCTGGGACATGCCCTGCCTGTGGTGACACAGGGATCACAGGGATCAGGCACTTCCTGCATGGAGACACTGAGGGAAAAGCCTCCCCCAGCTCTGGGAACACACAGCTGGCTGGGAGGCCTCAGCTCCTCAGTTCTGGAGCTCCGAGCTGAACCCACTCCCAGAGTTTGGGCTGCAGAAGGAGCATGGGAGGGACCAGCTGGCTCCCTCCTCCCCCAGGACAGGCAGCTCTCCCTGTGCTCCCAAAAAGCAGCTCTGCTCTGAGCTCACTGGAATCAGGGCTGTTAATGTGATCAGCAGAGGGTGTGAACTTCCTTCCCCTGACCTCGGCCCTCTCCGGCATTGCAGCAGTCCCCAGGCACATCGTTCTTCCCCCACATCCCACTCCTGGAAGGCTCTCCCTGCGTCCCTGCTGCTGCTGTGGCTGTGGGAGGCCCTGGATGATCCCCCCCTGCTCCATCCCTGGCCCTGGGAGCTGCAGGGCCTGAGAAAAGCTTCCCCAGGCAGCAGCAGCCTCCTGGAACAGTTTGGGAATCACAGGGTGACAGGAGCCTCTTCCCTCAAAACAGGGCTGGAAAATCCATTTAAAGGAACGAGCTGAGTGACCCAGAGAGACACAAGGCTTGTGTGAAGGGCTACAGGTGATTTCTAGGCAGAAATCCAACCCTCTCAGACTTGGGATCTGAACAATCTCCCCCCTTCCACGCCACACAAAGATTATATAAACCAAAGAGATATTTAAGTTATATTATAAAAATCTTAAGGATCAAAAGCCTTCCTAGAACATTCCAACTGGGAATTCCCACCTGTGTCCGTACCTGGGTGGCTTTGTCCCTGGTGCAGGGCAGGGTGTCCCTGTCCCGGGGCCACTGTCCCAGCAGGTAGGAGCCCAGGACGGTGTCCAGGGAGCAGGTCCGGCGGGAACGGCCCGGCCTGTCCAGGGCCACGGCGCAGGGAACGCTGGCTGTGGAGAGAGAGAGAGAGAGGGATGGGCTTCAGAGCCACCACTGCAACAGCTGCCTTGGGAAAACAGGCTCCAGCCCAGGAACCAGCCCAGGCACTGCAGGGACCACGGGCACACAGCCTGGCTCTCGGGAGTCAGAGCCCTGCTGCTCCCAGGGAATTCCCACCCTCGCACCAGCAGCGCTTCCCTGCAAGGGAATGGAGAGGAGCTGCTCCCAGTCAGGGCCGGAAAACGAGGAGCATCAGGAGCAAACCCACCCCTGACCCCCATCTGACCCCCTGGATTCCCAAACAGCACGTCCAGGCCTTTTCAAACCCTCCCGGACCTCCTTCCCAACACTCCCAGCTTTTCCTTTCAGGGAAGGCCTTTGGGAGGCTCAGCAGCTGCTGCTCAGCTCAGTGGGATCCTGTATGACCAGAGCAGCTGCAGGATCAGCCCCAGATCACCCCTGTTCCAAACCCACCGGCATCCCCAGCCCTGCAAGGGCTCAGGCAGCAGAGCCAAACGAGGAAAGCTGGGACAAACCACGGCATTTCCACGCTGAGCTCCCAGAAGGAGCAGGAGTGCGAGGTGAGGGATCCCCAGCGTCCCAGGTTTGGGCTCAGTCCTGCCCAGTTTGTGCCGCAGCTCCCACACACTCCGGGAGCACATGGAAGTGAGGAGAGCAATGGAAACTCCAACCCTTCCAGAGCTGCACTGAAACCACTGGGACGATCAAGAGGAAAAATTCAAGCTCGCAGAGCCTGCACAGCGAGGCACAGAGCCAGGAAGGAATGAAGCTCCAGCCACTTTGCCCTGGGAAAGCTGTATGGGATCCACGGAGCTCTGGAGCAGGGACAGCCCGGAGCTCCAACACAGCCCAGGGATGACAGCCCCGGCTCCCATTCCTTTGGGATTTCCTTGATTTTCTTTGCACAGCAAAGTAACTGCCCAATTAGCAGCAGCTTCACCTCGATTTCGCCACCGAGAGGGGGAGCCTGGCACTCGAAAGGATTATTTCATTAGCTTGTTTCAAGTATAAATTGAGCAGAAAGCTTTTCAACAGCTCCTCTGATCGATACCAGCCCTGCCAGCGGCAGAAGGAGGGAGTCTGGAGCAGGGACACTTCGGGAAGGGCCATTAATTCTCCCTGGGGAATTCCCAGCAGAGCAGATTAAACACCCTCTGCACCGAGCGAGGGACCAGCACCAGGCAGATACCACCAAATTCAGCTGGAGAAGTATTTCCCCCTGTCCCACAACTCTGATCTTACGTTTGACCCCAAAAGCGTTTCACTGCTATTTTAGTATGTCGTGAGATAATGAACAGCCAAACAACAACCCCACATCCAAAAGCAGCCCCAGGAACTGCCAAAAGTAACACACACAGAGAAAAGCCAAAGACTATTATTAGGCCGCTAAAAAGTTATATTTAAGCATTCCTGAAGCGGTCAGGGAGAGCTGAGAAGTGCAATTAGGGACGAATTACCATCGGGGCAAACCGAATTCCTGCTTTTTATCGAGATGGATCAGCTGCAAGAAACACAGGGCTCGGATTTTTGGGCTTTTTTTTGGTGAAGCCACCTCGAAACGGGCAACTCCTTGTCAGGGGAGGTCACAAGCAGCAGGGGCGCGGTGACTGTACTCGGGGGTCCCAGCTCAGAGAACGGGCCCATTCAGGGGGCCGTGTCCCCTCGCTCCCTGTCGCCATCCCCGCAGCTCTGCCCTCGCTTCTCCCATTTCCCTTTCACTTCCACCCCCGCACCATCACTGCGGAGAAGCCTCGGGGGCACAAGGATCGCTGGGCCCGGCCCTGCCGGGAGCCCCCGATCGGGTGCCCGTGCGGAGGGGCCGTTTCGGAGCCCCCACCCTGGGGGCCGATCCACAACTACCGGTGCCCTGAGGGTGCCGGGGCCACGCGGGGTCCCCCCGTTACCTGCGCGGGCCCCGTCTCCGCGGCGCTGTTGCAGCTGGAAGGGCACGGTGGCGCGGAGCGGGTACAGCCCCCCGGGGCCGGCGCGGCCGGAGGGCGCAACGCCCGCCCCCGCCATGGCCCGCCCGCCCGCCGCTCTGAGCCCCCCGCGCCGCCCCCGCCCCTTATGAGCCCTCGGGGGCGGAGCCGACGAGCGTAGCGCGGCGCTCATTGGCTGCCACGCCGAAACCCCGCCCACACCGAGGGAAGCCAATGAGAGCACTCGGCGCGCTCCGCCCCGCACGCGCCGCGGCGGCGGCCAACCAGGAGCGCCAGGAGGCGTCACTGCTGGCTGCAGAGCCAATCACAGAGGGAGAAGGGTGTGAAGCCACGCCCTTTGCCCCCGCCCACAGAAGCAGCCCAGCCAATCAGAGCAGGGCAGAGCCCACGCGCTGAGGGGTCACGTGGGCGGGGCCGGTTCCTCTCGGTTCCTCTTTCACCTTTGGCGGGGGGGTAGATCCGATCCCGATCCTAATCCCGATTAGGCCCCACAGCCCTTTCCAGGATGAGATTCCTCCATCTGGCCCCGCAGTCCCAAACCTGGATGGTGGAAAATGTGCTTCCAACCTGCCCCACCTCACCATTCCCTGACCTTCTGCTCCTTGAGCATCATTTCTGATCCCAACTCCATTCAAACCTGGAAACTGGGATCACATTGTTTGATTCCTTGAGAAGATATCCCAGCACAGGCTTTTCCCTTGTTCTGGTCCCCTAAAATATATTTTTAGTCCTCAGATAATCAGAGAATTCCAGAATGGTTTGGGTTGGAAAGGACCTTAAAGATCATCTTGTTCCCTGGGCAGGGACACCTCTCACTATCCCAGGTCGCTCCAACCTGGCCTTGGACAGTCCCAGGGATGGGGCAGCCACAGCTTCTCTACGAAATCCATCCCAGCCCCTCACCAGCCTCCCAGGGAAGGATTCCTTTCCAGTATCCCATCTGACCCCGCCCTTGGACATTGGGAAACCATTCCCTGTGTCCATAAAGTCTGATCCTCGGAGCAAACTCCCCTGTGGATCCCAGAGAGACACAGCTCCAGGGTTCAGGGACAGCAAGGGAAGGGAACATCAGCCCAAGCGAGGAGGGTGGGGTGGGGGCAGCTGTGGCACAGGGAGATAAGGACAGGGGAGGGCAGGAGGGGCAGAGCAGCCCCGGCCCTGTGCCAGGCCGTGTCCCTGCGGGTATCGGGCACGGCAGCACTGCCCGGCCCCTCCGGCACCCCCTGGGCACAGCAGGGACCAGGGACACCC